TGTAAAGTAATAATTGAAAATGAAAAATCATGCGTGAAAAGATGAGGAAAAAATGAAAATAACAATTTTCAATTTTGTTACTTTCATTTTCCTTTTTCTGGTGAAATTGTTGAATGATTTGTTAGTATTAATACAAGAAACATGCCTGTATCACTAGCATTGCCAACAACCCAGTTAGTGTGCTGTAAGCTGTTACATTCAGCCACCGAGGAAATATCATCCAAATCTTCGAAGTTTTTCCATTTTTTCATATTCGAAGCGTAACCGGGAACTATTTCATTCGACAAGCTGGTTAAAGAAAGATTTTCCCTTATATTGGATTTGGATTCCAAGTCGTGTATTCCACATAATTCGTCCAAAATTCGCTTGGACCTTTTCGAATTCTTGGACACAGATTCCTTAAACATTTCGATGTCCAAATCGTCTATGGAATCATAATCGTTTACGCAATCCAATTGATTTATGGCTTCTGCCAATTTTGAGTTCAGTGAACTTGTGTCTGAGGTGCTACAAAGAGACAATTTATCGTAGGTCGGCGAATTATTGTTTTCTACGTCTATTTCGACAGAAAACAACGAAGCTCCTATCTTGAAACCACTTTTACGTCCCAAAGACACCTTTCTATTTGTACGAGTGGACGTGATTGTTTCTTCAGTTTCTTTATCTTCATGTTTTTCTTGACGGGTCACAGTTATTGTTTCACTTCTAATAGGATCCAAATTTGTCTCTTTTTTGGCATGAATAACATCGACCTTACTTTCTTCGCCGGAATTTGTGTGAACAAAGTCGTTGGTACCTTTTCTAGATCGAGGCAATGGTTTTACGACTACTTCGTCTGATAAATTTCTACTTCTTGGGGTGGGTTTAGGTGATTCTAGCATGCAAAAAAATGAAGCATACGGTTAGGAAAAAGGTGCCATTATTGTTAAGTTTTTTATACCAGAAAGCAAGCATCGGTAAGTAAAATTATAAAAGAAGTATTTAATAAAATAAAGACCTCGAGCAATGATTTTCTAACAACAGTTCTATTACTAGCTAAAAGACGAAACAGGAAACAAATGAGTAATCCCATTTTTTATGATAAGAAATATTATTATCAGATCTTCAATCAGACTTTTTTACATAGTAAAGAGAAGCCCCAAACAGATTACTTTTATTAAACACCAAATATAATAAGATACAATATGGATTTGGAAAACTACAGAATGAAAAATGAACATGTCTGAACATGGATAGCTAATAGGAAAATAAGTAAATAGTAATTTAGTACAATTGCTAATTGTGGATACGCAGAAAAAAAAAATTACAAATAATCCGCCTGGTTATTATTTTTAAATAAATTTAACGTTTTATTAATTTCCGAACGTATGTCGTTTTTAACACTTTTCACCCTTTTATTCGTACACTCTTCGTTATTTGGTTGTTCCCAATTAATATTTTGACTAGCAGTAAATTTTCGATTGGGAAAATTTCTTGTTGAAGCTAGTTTTCGTTTTCCAAATTTTTTGTTTGAATTACTCTCAAAAATTCTTTCTTCGTTTGGGGGTAAATCATATAGCTCTTTAAAAGTACTTTTCTTATCAGGAGTGGCGTCATTTTCTGTTGATTCTACCCTTTTAGTTTTTGTAGAATTACCACCAGAAAAGGAAAAAACATTTTTATTAAAAAATTTTGAACAGGGCGATTTATTCGTACTTTTACCTTTTTGATCAAATTCATTATCGTCTTGTTCATTACTATCTCGAGAATTTTTTGTTTTGGGAGACTTATTTTTTTCGTTTTTATTCTTACGCTTCAAATCACTACTACCACTTACCTTTGAAGACCTTTCCGAAAAGTAAGAAATGGTTTTGCTAAAAAAATTAAATGTTGATGCCTTTGCAGATGTGTTTTCGTTACCGCCCCTTTTACTGTTAGCATTTATTTGGTCTTCGACATCATCACAAGCAATCTCAATATCCTCATCATCTTTACATAATTTAATAGAGTTACTATGACTAATTTTTGGAGAATCCCGTTTTTGAGAATTATTTTTTGACTTAAAATTTGTTTCGGATTTTGTAGAATTGTCGTTAAAATATGACACCGCCTTATTAAGAAAACTTGAAGATGGTTTCTTATTTTTAACTTTAATTTCTTTTGTTTCAATTTCATCACAATCATCCTGAATATCATCTGTAAAATCTTCTACACAAATAATTTCGTCATCTCCCTCCTCGTCATTATTTAAATCAGTACTACAATAGTTACTAATTAACTCTGTTCTTTCTGGTAACTGGCTACTTAGATGTTCATTAATTATATGTTTATTACACTCAATTTCTACATTCACTTTTCTATCACTTACCTTGTCCGTTTTGCTTTGTACAATCTCATCAGGAAAAGTTGAAACAGTTTCATTAGTATTGTTAATTGGACTATTTGTGGTTTTTTTATTCAAATTACGATTTACTTCCTTAACTTTCAACAAATTATTATTTGAATTTAAATTTGAACATTTGCTACTACTATCAGTCGTCATTTTTTTTTCTGAAGCTTCACCCCTAGTTTCCCCTATTGATTTTTTGGTAAAATTGTGTCCCTTTTTCAAATTTAGATCGCTTGCATCTTTTGTGCTACAAATACTGTCGCAATCATCATCGTCACTACATGAAAGATTATAATTTAAATAATCGCCTGAATTATCAACAACTATTTGTTTTTTTGATAAAGGATAAGCAATAGAATTAAAGTCTTGGCCAGAATTTTTATCTAAAACATTTTTGTAATTTGTCTGTTTTTGATTAGCTTCGTTTGTAATCGAACCATCATCAGAAATATGTGATATTTTATTGGAAATTGTCTCTGTAGACATACTTATATCAACTTCTTCATTTATACACTCATTGAGGACTACAGACTCATCACTGTCATTTTCTAAACTTAAATTCAAATGATTATGCGATTCATTATAATTTACTGCTTCATTTTTTGTAATTTCTTCTTCAGAAGTTGAATTCAAAATATTTACATCTGTATTACTGACATGTATCTGTTTCTTTAGGGGTTTATATATACATTCGCTCGACGAATAGAATAATTTGTCGAGCGTTTTCTCATCTGGAAAACAATTGTTGCTATTGATATCACCATAAGGTTTTATATCAAGAAAATTTCGGTCATACAAGTTACCATTGTCGATATTATTATTATTAAATTTAGAATCCGAATGTAAACTGATCACTTCCGCACTTAAAATGCTTTCGGGGTAATCGACGTCTACATTTGAAGAATAGTATTCTTCAAAATCGTCTTTGGGATCTTTCTTGGATTTTTGTGTTGCCGAATTTGGTGATAAAATAATCGGATTTGTCGTCTTTTTTCGGAAACTGAAATTTCTTATTTCTTTTAAACATTCGTTGAACCGCTCGCGGTATAAATGATGAGCATCGTGTGACGATTTTGGAATAAAATTAGTCACCTTCAAATGAGGAACATTTTTCGAGTTAATTTTTGTCTCCTTGGAACATTTTAAACTTGTTCCATCCGCAACTTTATCAAATTGCTTGATATTTTTTAACGGTTTTGATTCTCCAATAAAAGTACTTGATACATCTTTAAAATTTTCGGAAATTATTTTACAACAACTACTAGTTTCTGTATTTTTATTAGTAAAAGGCGATTGGTGTTCTTTATTATTGTATGTTGGTTCTAGCTTACCTGATTTATCTACGAAAGTAGGACTAGCAATTACAGGACTAGGGTTTTCGCTTATTTTAGGGGTCGAAGGTTCAGGTCTCGGTTTTTCTACTACGGTACGCTTTGTAACCGTCACATCTAATGGCGCAACTTTTTCCAAGGTTGCAGTCGATGTCGTAGTTTTCAGACCAGGAGGAGGTGGAGGTGCCGCCCTTTTTTTCCGACCTAGAATTAATAATAACGTCTCAATTCATTTCATTCTATTTAAATTAGATTTAATTTAGTATTACTGTAAAATCCCTGACTTAAAAAGTTCTCGAAATTTTTTTAAACAAACCTTAAGTGCCGGTGCACACTTGCGACAGTTTTGCGCCGCGGGTCCGCAGCGGCACCGCAAAGTTTACTGCACACTTGTTGGTATTTTTGCGGTTTTGTTGCGGCGCCGCAAAAGTAATAAAAATATATATCTAATACAGTGTCATTCGTTTTTAAAGAAAATCAGTCAGTGCGACAAGTTGAATAGTGCAAAATGGAAGTTTTTATTAATGAAAGGCGTGTAGTTTTTACGTATTTGGTGTACAAATGCGTTATTGATCGAAAAAAAAAAAACAAGACGATTTTGGGTAGACCCATATACCGATTTACGGCTTACAAGGGGCACATTTGTAACGTCGTTTTCGTATTTAAGGGAGAATCCTGACTAATTTTTCAACTACTTTCGAAGGAGTGTTGCTTCATCTGATGAATTAACAGGAAAAGTTTCTGATAGGATAAGATCGCAAAAGGTACCAGATTAAGAGTCTCCATAATCCCACTAGAAATGTTTTCTCCTTGTCATCCAGCTCCAAAAATCCATCGGAAAACATTTCACAGATTATAATCCATGCAGACCTGTTTTTGACTCTTTCATGGTATAGGTATATTTCTGAGGAAATATCCCATATCTCTGGGAACCAACCCCTTTACTGCATCAATGAATAATTCTATATCCAAATCTTCAGAAGTTGTAGTAGCAGCCATCCTTTTTTGCGTCAATTTGCCGCAAGTGTGTACCAGCCGATATACACACGAGTACTACAAAACCGCAATAGCGGCAGCGGTGCCGCCACGGTTCCGTTAGTACCTGTTAGTACTTTAAGCCGCAATTGCGGTGCCGCAGCGGCGATTGCCGCAAGTGTGCACCGGCGCTTAATGATTAAAATAATTCAATTAGTTTTACTGACCTGCTACTAAACTGGACAGGGATTTGGAATGGCCCGCCATTTTGGACAAATTTCCAGATTCCTCTTCTTGACTCTCCCTCAAACCTTTATCAGTTCTATCCTTCCCGACGACATTGATCACCGTGGATTTCGGCCTCCTGGGCAGCGACGTGTTATTACAATTCTCACTTAAAACCGACGGTTCGTGATAACCCGAACTATCGCTGCTATTCCTTGAATGACAAATGGTCAGACCGTTTTCCATCGTTTTGGGTTGCAAATCCAAAATGGTGGAAGGGTCAGAATTGGTGCTGACTTGACTGGGGGGTTTGTTTGGGGAGATTTCGGTCTTTTGGGGAGGCTTAGGTGCAGGTCTTCTTTTTCTAACAGGTGGTTTTGGCCTTTCTGTGTGAGGGACCCGCTCTTTAGGTAGTGACGGTTGAACCGAGGGTGGGGTAACTGATCGGGAATCGTCGCTGTGTACAGGAGATATGGATCGATTTTCACTTGATAACGATCCAGATCCTGTACTCTGAAAAGAGAAAATGGTCTTTTTTTGCTTTTTCAAATCATGGACACATTATAAGGGAGGAAATATTTGAAAAGGGCTAAATTCAGAAGACAGTATGTTATTAAAAGAATGTATCAAAGTTGATGATATAATATATCGAATATTCAAACCGAAGAAAGAAAATCACAAGGAAGGAAAAAGCAAAGAAGAAATTTTTTAATGGAAAGAGAATGGGCGATCACTCATCACTACTGATGGAAACTGGAAAAGAAAGCAGAAGTGTATGGAAAGAGCTGGAAAGTTTAACTAATGACATTGATAAGCAAAAAACTCGAACACATTTTTGAGAGATGTGAAAATTGACATTGAAGAAAAGGATTAGAGAAAAATTATGGTAAAGGAAAATAGCATAAAGGCGAAAAGAATAAAAATATTAAGTTTGTTAAATTCATATGTGGGTATACCTAGAATAGCTAAATGTAAATGCAGCTTGTGTACATATATAAAACATAATGTTTTTAACCAAGCTATCTATGTATCTATCTATAAACCACAAATAGTAAAATTATTACGTGAAATCTTGCAGTCCATATATTATTATTGAAAAGTTGTATTGACCCAAATCACCTTAATCAAACTTAAAACACACAACTAGCTCCCTCCTCTTGACAATTGATATCAAAGCTTTTTTATTCTAATGCAGTTACATAGTATTTCAGAATAAAGGACATCATCACGTTTTAAGTTCCTTGCAATTCGGCTTTAACTATAGTATTTTCGATTTCACGTAATACTTAAATATGTATTCTTTTATATGTTTCATTTCAATTGAATATCATAATCAAGGAAACAAACTTGTTTATCATTAGTTTCACAATATGAGTCATGACGAACGATTTTTGAGAAAATACTTCACCTATACTATAGGGTGAATAGTATGCAAACAAAAACAGAAAAAAATTAGGGCTATGTCAAGGTCTGCAATTCTAATTTCTGGCAATATTTTGCTTGCTTATCACCTACATAGATGGATGAGTGGATTCAAGTGATACTGATAACAAAATGATGTCACTTTCAGATAAGTAATCAATAAGATTAAAAGGATTAAGCCTCTCTTCAATAAAAAGGTTTTGTAGCTATAGCAAGCTTTCTAAAAGAGTTACAATTAATAAATAACGATCATTTCAAATTCTATCGTAAATGTCAAAATAAATTAACTTAAAAAATGTACAATTTTGTAGTTGCAATACTACTGTGTCTTGTTGGAACAGTTCAAAACTTTTTAAGCGCTATGACCTATTTCATTTCAAGTGATTCAAAAATTAATTAGTGCTAGGACTTACCGACTTTCCTTTTTTGAAAATTAAGTTGAACACACCACCACCCGTTTTAGCATGCATTTGTTTCCTTTCTTCCTCCTTTCTCAAGGCCATAATGTCACTCGAGGAAAAGGTCTGCGCCAAGCCGATGGTACCTTTCGCGACCACGTAAATTTCGGTAATTTTATAATCACTGAGGGTCAATTTCAAGTCGAGCACTTCATCGAGATTGCCTGGAATTAAAATTAGAACATACGCTTGTAGAATTTGGCGTGTTGTCTTGCGATTTTCGTAAAACAATTAAATTCACATGTCACGTAAGAACACGAACGAACACGTACATCTAAGTGAAGCGTACGTTTTGATACAATGGAATGTTCCCTTATCGGAGAGTAAACATTGGCTCGGTCAACAATTGTTTTTCTCGTTTATGGCTGCGGAGAATTTTTAATGGATAGCTATAAAGTAGCATTAATACGGGAAATCAAACGCAAAACATTCAGTAGTACTCAATAAGAAGAAATTACAAAAACCTAAACATTTGTCGTACTTTTTAATACACTTATGCAGGTATCCAAGACAATCCAAGAACTACATGGCGCCTAATTTAAGTACTACTGATAACAGATAAAACGTTGCATAATTTCAGAAAAAATATTAAATTGTGAGTATTTTTCAATTTTCAATCACATCGCAATCGTACGTATCTTGCTTATTCTGATTCCGATTTAAAATTGGTTTCAACTTTTAAAAAGANATATCTTTTATTTCTCTCCATTTAACGACCACTCTTTATAACGCCAAAAAATGTTCAGTCCTAAGTGTCGTTATATAGAGTTTACACTGTACTTCGAGCAAAACAAAACTTATGCAATCCTACATTAAGATATCTCCATTAGGACAGCAGCATTCTAAAGTAAATTAAAACGGTTAGAAGAGCCTTTTAATGAGCGGGGGTAACCGACATTCACTGCAGTGAAAATTCTCTTCTACTAAATTGTTAATAACACTCTATCTATTCAAAAAGTTTATTAACACAACCCTTACAATGCATTTATAATTTGACTTTCAACGAATTTTCGCAGAAAAAAAAGTTTAATTATTTGAAATGTTTGTCAGGGAACCCCTAAAGTTAAATCAATCTCCTTAAAATTAAAACCATTTTTCCAACACCTGCTAATTTTGATAATAAGTAAGTAGCATCATTGGGAAAAAGTGTAAGTATTAATATATTGCCTGATCAACCTACTAAAAGTGTCGATAAAGGAAAATAATGTATATATGCCCACTTAATACACCGATGGCATACATAGCTGACCTGAATTTTTAAAATCCATCGAACAAATAACATGTCGATGTTGAATGGTATATATACCTACCTAAACCGAAACGTTTCTCCGAAATGGGTTTTAATGAAGATTTTTATAATATAGAAATGAAGCCCAACATTATTTAAGGTTAATTATTTTTGCATATCTTATTATTATACAGGGTTTTAGATTTATGTTTTTGAGTTCAAAATAAAGATTCGCTTCCAGGATGCATGTACTCTTTTAAAATTTAATCAAATACAAACAGGATCGTCAAATGGAACAGGATAATTAAGTACAAGCTGGATAATCAAACAAAACTGAATACTTTAGTTAACAAAAATTGAATACTTAATTCTAATGAAGATTCCTCTTCCTTATTCTCTTGAGTTATTCAATGTCTGCTTCCAAACCTTACTACAATGAATTCTTAACTTTTTTAATTTTTTTTTTGTCCTGAATTTGTAAGAGAAATTTTCCCTACATCACCTGTAATATTCCTTAAGTGCATAAAATACTTACTGTATAAATATGTTGAATAAGAAAAACTGATTGACGTAAATAGTATGTAACAAATGAAATACTACTATTTTTAAAATAATGTTTAATAGTTCAATAAGTATATATTAAAAACATGCGCGTGACTAATAACGACATTGTTAAACAAGCGGTGAAAGGTAAAATAACTTCAATTTAGTACTAACATAGATATTACACATTTAGTAAATAAATAAAACCATACACTGCGCTATTTCTTACTTATGATATTTAAGATTTTGTAAAATGGAATACAAACGTTTTTCAATCAGATTTATTCAGTGTTTCCATAAATCCTTTCCTTGTCCATAAGTGAACGCATTCCAAAGGAAACAATTGTGTATGACCATTTTATCAAACTATTGTAGGTTAATGTGGTGAAAATAAGATGCACTTTTATTTAACCCATTTGTTTAATCGGTTCATGAAAGAAAAGAACAAATAAATAATACCTGTTTTCACACACATTTGCACAGCAGTTAATTCTTGAGCCACAAATCGATGTGTTTCACACGTTTTGAATGAGTCTTCTCTTATTTTTTAAATAGCATTTGAGGAAGGAAAAGAACATGACGTATGTAGGTGTATTGTACATTGTTTCGTTTTTAACATAAATCGCAATATTTCGTAAGTAAATCTATCTCTATTTGCTGAGCGAAAATGAAGAAATAATTATCACTACATTGCGTAAGTCATTACCTAGTTACTTCATTTCAGGTTAATTAGCAGATAATGTTTATCATAAATGTTCTAGGAACTATAAACTACACTTTGGCTTTGCAATTAAACAAACATTAATTAAAGGCATACTAGAACAAGTAAGAAAATTTTCATGAAGCTCTTATTTTTCGAATTTTTGAAAGGTGATATTCTTCTCGGCCGCTTTTACAAAAATTTCATTCTTTCTTCTGTTGCTTATCAAAGTAAGCAAATATATTGTAAAATATAATACTCTAATAGCTTTTGTCGCCATGGGGCGGATGTCCAATGTTTCCCAATGGATTGTTTCCAAATTTTCTTGAGTCAAAGTAACTATACGTGACCGTGTGTGATCGCACAGAAGAATCACACTTCGGATAGACAAAGCTCGTCCTCGATGTTAACTATTCGTAACTCATTAAAAAATTCAATGAGCAACAAGACTCTGCAATACCAAAAACTAGCCGCAACAACTTTGCCTGTAGAAAGGTAAGCTTTCACTTTTCTGTATGGAGCTTCTCCAGATTTTCGCTGGTTTGTTTAAGTTGCAGAGTATAATGGTACACCCACGTCAGGTCGTAAGTCTTACTGTGATTTAAAAATTTCCACCCTCTGTCCCATATTGCCCCAAAGGCCGGTTTGATGATGCTCAAAAATGGAAGCGTTATCTGTGCGTAATTATATAGTTAGAGACACACGACCACATTTATAATTCGATAATGGCATTAAAAAACATCAAATCCCTTAGGAAAAATGTATTGCTATGTATTCAAAAATTTCCCTGCAATAAATGGAGAAAACAAATTCCGGTTTATATTTGATCCACCTAAAATAATACGTCGTCTTCCTTAATGGTGTAACTTTTTTATTAGAGCGCGAACAGTCTAAACATTCATGTATCTGTGCCTATAATGTTACCTAATAATAGTGAACCTGTTTGAAATTGTTACATACGGACAGCTAGCGCACACTTCGGCTATTTTAATTATGTGGATACTACACTACCTGTTCTAGGACATTTGAAAGTTAGCAAAGTATACTGTTTCGCGAGAATATCCACCGTGCAAAAGTAAACCAACCAAACTATAAATACATTTACATATGCTCGTACATATGTATACGGTGAGGAACTGAGTTGTGAAGCGAAGCCTGACTTCAAAAAAAAGCATTTTGTAAACTTGCGATAGGTATAATTACACTACTGAAAAAAGTAAAAGGAATCGGTCAATTAAGTCATCAAAAAATGTGCCAGGCTTTTTGTCATTAATTGAATCTAGAACTAGATTTTTTGTACTTTTCGTATCTTTATATTATTCTACTAAATTACTAATTAGTCAGGATATGAAGGGAGCCTTTGACAGGATAAACAAAAAAAAACATCGAGTATAATGAAAAAAGAAGAAAAAAATACGAACTTAAGCTAGTTATCTATAACCAAAATGGGTTACAAATATTTGTAAATTTTTACAGAGTTGTACGACAGGGAAGAAGGACATCTAGCTCACTCACGATCAGCTTCCCCATATGTATGCCACTGGTATCGAGCTTCACAATGAATAATCATTAGTGAAACTACTACGACAAATGCCTTCGTTTTCTTGAACCACATAAGTACTTAATACTGTAAAAGTTGTTGACACTTTTGTACTTTATTGGCAGTCGTGAAAAATGAAAATAAAGTAACATCTGTAAACTTAAACCACACTGATGTCATTGTTGAAATAATCTGTTATGCCTCCAGGTAAGGCCTAATGATAATTTATGTTTACTGTACTTAAAACTAAATTTGGTACAATGCGAAGGTGGTGATGCTTTCGTTTTCTACTTAATTTCCATTCTAGATTTTACACTTTCAAATACTTCACGCCTGAAGACGAGTACGTATATTGCCTGGTCTAATTATCGATTTTATATATTTTTTTAATATAAGATGAGGATACCGTGGATAGAAAAGATTAGAAATGAAGAGGTATTAGAAAGAAAAGGAGAGTAGAGGACTTTATGGAAGTCAATAAGAAATAGGCGAGATAGGTTGGTAGGACACCTTACAAGGCATGAAGATCTACTGAGAGACATATATTAGAGGCAGAAACGGAAGTTAGGAGGGGTAGAGGTAGACCTAGATTAAATTAGATTACTGTTCGCAAATAGTTAAGGATGTGGTTTGCCCATGTTTTAGGGAAATGCGAAGTTTAACTGGAGGTATGTGTCCAACCGACGACCTTATGATGATCATAACTTTCTAATCCTAAACTGTTCCAACTCAACCAAAAATTTCGATTAAACAAAATATTCAAGTAATTGGAAGTACTTCCATTCTTTTATTAGGCTTTTTAATCTTCAATTAACTACAAAATATCCTGTCATTAGATATCTCAGCTATAGCAGTTTCTTTTATAAACCTACCTAATACGCTAGAACTATAGATATCTATGTATTGTAGAACCAGATGATGATAATGATGATGGTAATGCAATAAGTAATGAACAAATTATAAAATATATTTAAAATAGAGTATTGAACTACATTTTATTAAAAGTTTTTGACATTTATTAACATTAAGAGAAAGCTTGNAACACATAAAAAAATAACCACAACAAACCGTTCTTTTTTTATTATTCGTATACCAACCGTACAACAATGATTAATGCTGTTATTCGTTTGGTGTGAAAGTATTGTGTGTAAATTTACTATAAAATGTGTAGATATAAAGATTTACAATAACTAGGTAGCTACAGGTATATTTAATTA